TGGATTGCAGCGAGCCTGATTACTGATGTCAGTGTGCGCCGGGACACGTGGGAACGCCGGAGATCCTCGTGCCGAGCTCAGGCTAGCTCGCAGCGGAGGGATGAGTCGGAGGGAGGGGTGCATTCGCTCGCCTGGAATTACATTTCTCACTCTTAGTTACACAGAGCGTGAACACAACATGCCCACACATACTGTACGCCTTACGTGACCCACACACATATACTGCGAACATAATCGTGTTTTTGATCCTATAGCGGCGAGGAGTCAGCGTTTGTGGCTGACATTAAATAAAGAGCGTGGGAGTCTGTTAGTCTATAAAAGGGCTTACGCGCATCATGCCAGTAAATTACAGCTACACAGCTGTAATTTCACATTTGGACTTTTTGATTGTTACATCTAAATGTTGTTACACTGTATTCTTCCTCTAACACGACACTAAAGATTCTTTTCTTTGCGAGGTTACACTTCATCGTCCGCGAGTCTGCGTGCATGTGCGGCGGTGTCCGCTTTCATTTGAGCGCGCGCGCGGGTTCGGAAGTGATTTTCCGCGCATCATTTGTTTACACCTAGAATAGCCGGCCATCATCTTTTCCACTAAGAGAACAATAGCCATTTTTTCCCTCTCCTTTTGCTCGGGAGACAATGAAGTGCCTTCCCGCCTCGCGAGCGACAGGCCAATAAAAAACGTAATTGGATCTGTCAATCAAACACTGCTGCAGCGCAGGGGGTGGGCGGGCAGGTGGGTGGGCGGCGGTGGCAGAGGCGGGAGGGTAGGCCGGACACTGGGAGTAGTGCAGATAGAGAGGAGAGAGAGAAACGGGGAGGTGTGCCGTTGCAACGCGCTAATGCACACAGTTCCTTCTTTGCACTGCCCGGAGGCGCTCAGCCACAGTTACAAAGGTGTACAATTGTTGTGTTTTGCTGTTTGTTTGTACAGGGGCCAGGGGGAGGACGATCTGTCTTTGTTTGTAGGTATTAGTGGGTCGCTGATGTGGCTTTGATGCGACTACGCAGGAGAGCCAGGGCTGCCAGAGCCTCTGAAGGTCACAGTGGATGTACTAGCGCTGATGTTTCTGTCTGTGCTTTGTAGGCGCTCGGCCCGTCAGACATGTTGTTTTTTCCAACCAGGGAAAGGTCTTGTCTTTAGTCAGGAAGGCCACGATGCTTTAGTAGTATTTTTCACGGTACAACAGACACGCCGAGCATCACCTTGTCACATTAAATCATCTGCATACTGGCGCGCGTGCTTATCTCGTCTCGGTGCTCGGATTATGTGTATCTGCTGTCAGATAAGCAGCGTGCGTAAACGTACACGTGCGCCCACACACACACACTTTTGTTGGAAGTGTTGCACTAAGTTTTAATGACAACTGCTTAAATTAAGAGCCCATTTACAAGCTCTCTGACAGAGAAGTTAAGTGCGCGTTGAGGTATTCTGCTCGCCTACTCTGCGCCCGGGCTCAGCTTTTAGGAGATGGCTTTCTTGTGTCTTTGGTGACATTGTTTTTCCATTATTAGCCGAGCTGCTCCATCGTTCCTTCCATTACGGTCTCAAGCACATTGAAATTCTGTATCTCTTTTTATGGATAGACAAAGGATGTTTTAACTGTAAGTGTGAGCGTGGCAGTGAATACTGTTCGGTGTCTATTGACCACTTTGGCAGTTAAAAGGAGCTGAAGAGGAAACTACAGTATGCAGAGTCACTGCAGGGGTTCATTCGCTGCCTATTTTCTGGGCTTTCTACCTTTTTTAAAACTTCGAAAGGCTACCTCTGGAGGATGCTCCGCGCCTTGAATCATGACAACTGCTGCCATGTGCACTTAAAAAAGGCTAAGAAATAAAAATGGAATCTTAATTAACAGAAATCAAAAGAAGTGCCTGCTTTCTTCCAGGGTTTTTAAGGTGCTCGAATCAAGAAGATGAAAAACAAACTTAATTAAAAAGTATTTTTTTAAATTTCCTATTGATGTCATGTGTATTTTCAGCCTGTTCTCTTGTCCTGGGTGTCAGCTAATACTGTTTCGTCCAACTACATCGCACTTACACACAAGGCATTGTCAGAGGGAAAGGTCATAACATGAATGTTTCAGCTGGGCGTCTTTCAGCAAGCAGGATGACTGTTGTGAAGGGCTGGAGTTTAACCATTATCTTCACCCCGACCTTATTGACACCAAGAGAACAGTTAGTGCGTCATGGCAGCTTTCAGTCACGTGGCTGTTGTCAGGTTGCTCGGAGTGTGTTGCACTGAAAACCTCCTGTGGTTGTACGTTTTTGCGGTCATCTTGAGTTTGTGTTACACTCTTCACAATTTCATTACTGCTCGGTGATTATTTTGTGCATCTTTGCTACTGAGTTGGTGTCTTCCATGCAAACTGCACAGCAGTTCACTGACGACCAAAGTAATTACAAGAAGCTTTCTGGTGGAGAACTGTACACCTCTTTGTGACCAAAGCAACTGCCCACAACCTCCAACAAGCCCTGACAACTGGCTGTAGAATTCCCTAGCAACCCCCTAGCAACAGAGGTTCACTGATTGGTCTCTAGACTTTACTCATGAAATTGATTGTTAAACTCCAGTGTTTAGCAATCAATTTCATGGTAACTTCCTGCAACCTACAACGGCCACTTGAAAGTAGGGCTGCCACGATTAGTC